CCTTCCTCCTCCTTCCTCCTCCCCTTTCCTCTTCCTCTTTCTTTCCCTCTCCCTCTCTCTTCCTTTTCCTCTCTCCCCCCCCTCTCTCTCTTCCTTTCCCTCTCCCTCTCTCTTCTTTTCCTCTCTCTCCCCCTCTCTCTCTTCCTTTTTCCTCCTCTCTCCCCACTCCCTCTCCCTCTCCTCCAACCCATACAAACGGTAAACCAACGGGGGATAACACAGACTTCTAAAACTTCACAGCACCAAAGCCAGGCCACAGCGGGAGAAGGGGGTGGTCCCCCCCTTACTCCTTACCCCACCCCTACTCCCCCCCTCACAGCACCTGCTCTAAAAGACGTTGTGTTTGTGAATCTTTTTTTTTTCCTTTCTTTTTTTTTCTTTTTTCCTCAGTCTCACTTCTTTTTTTTCCTTTCATTTTTTTTTCTTCCTCATTCTTCTCACTTCTCTCATCCGTTGGGCAGGATTTCACGGTTCGACGAAACCGGAAAGAAGGGAACAAAGATAGCGGAGAGAAAAAATAAACTGTGATATCACGAGGAAGAGGAAGAAGGGAAGAGGTGGAGGAATAGGAAAAGGTAGAAGAAGAAAAAGCAGAAGAAACAGATGGAGGAATAGACAGAGGAGGAGGAGGAGGAGAAGAAGGAGGGAAGGAGGAGGAGAAGGAGGGGAGGGGAGGAGGAAGAGGAGGAGAAGACGAATTGCATGAGAATGAGTCTCCTCCTTTCCTTCCCTTCCGTCTCTCCTCTTCCCCTCCTCTCCTCCCCCATTTCTGCTCTTTCCTACCCCTTCACCACCACCTCTCCTCATCTGCTCCACTTCTCCTCCTCCCCCTCCTCCTCCGTCCACCTCCTTCTGCTCCACCCTCCAACCCCCGTCCTCTCCTCATCCACCTTCTCCACCTCCCCCTCCTTCCTCCACCTCCCCTCCTCCTCCACCCCCTCATCAGTATGCGACCCCTCCCCGCCGCCCTAATGTAAACACGCACACGCGCTTATGCGTCCCTCGTCTTGACTCCGGCTCCTCCGCAGGCCACTTCCCCCCCCTCCCTCCCCGCCCCCTCCCTTCTCCCCCTCCCCCCCGCCCATCACCATTAATATACATATCAAGACTTGAGGGCGCTCCACTGAGCCTCCTCCCCTTCTCCCACCTTCTTCTCCCTCTCCCCTCTTCCCTCTTCCCCTCCCCTCTCTCCTCTCCCTCCCCTCCCCTACCCCTCCCTCCACTTCCCTCTCCCCTCCCCCCCCCCCCTCTCCTCCCCTCTCTTCCCTCTCCCCTCTCCCTCCCTCCGCCCCCCTTCCCTCTCCCCTCCCCTCCCCCCCCTTCCCTCTCCCTCTCCACTTCCCTCTCCCCCCCCCCCCCGCCCCTCAATCCCACACACACACCCTCTCCCTCGTCTTTCTTCGCCGCCTCCTTCGTTGGCAACTGTTTTGTCTCTGTCCATCTGCTCTGCGTCTGTCTGTCTGTCTGTCTGTCTTCTGACGTTTTTACCCTCCTTTCCCCTTTTTTTTATCTACTCTACTCTCTCTCTTAGCTCTTCTCTCCTCTCCTCTCCTTTATTTTCTTCTCTCTTCTTCCCTTTCCTGTCCTCTCTCTCCTCTCATCTTCCCCTCTCATCTTCCCTCTCATCTTCTCCCATTTTCCTCTTTTTCGTCTTTACTGTCATCACAATATCAGCCGGTGGTTGGGGAGAAGAGGGAGAGGGGGAGGGGATGGAGGGGGGGTCACGGGGGCTAGAAGACGGATTCAGAAAAGGCAAGATAAACGCACGCCCACGCATATAAAAGAGACCTCCTATTCCCTTCTCCTATCCCCCTATTCTTCCTCTCACCCCCACCCCCACCACCCCTCCTCTAACACCCCCCGCCCATCCTCTAACACCCCCGCCCCTCCTCTCATCCCCCACCCTTCCTCTTATCCCCATCCCTCCTCTAACCCCACCACCCCTCCTTTAACCCTCCCCACCCCTTCCTCCCCTCCTCCCAACCAACTTATTCCTCACCTTCTCCTCACCCCCCAAACTTTACCCCAACGCCCCTTCACTACCCCCCCCCCCCGCTAACCCCCCCCCCCGTGACGTCTTCATGCTCCAGTACCCGTCACGCCCCGCCCGTAACGGCCGGGCGAAAAATAACGACCGAGAAGGCGAAGGGGGGGAGGGGGGGGAGATCAGGGGGGGATGGAATGGAGGAGGGAGGAGGAGAGTGGGGGCAAACACGCACGCACGCAAACACGCAATCACACACGCAGACAGGCACACACACACACACACACACACACACACACACACACACACACACCACACACACACACACACAACACACACACACACACACACACACACACACACACACACACACACTCCCCCCCCGCACCACACACCCTCTCCATCCCCCATCCTCATCCCTCCACACTCTCCCCCCTCCCCCCTCCCACCATCCCCCCCCCCCCCACCCCAGCGCACCCGGCCTGACAACACGGCCGCCGAGGGACAATGGGCCCGGCCGCAGCACTCACCCGAAGGCCCGACAGCGCCCGCCCGACAACCCGACAACCCGGCAACCAAACCCGACGCACACGCTCGTCTTTCTTATATATATTCGTGGCCTTTCCCTCGGCCCTTTGTGTGCAAAACAGAGATGGACAGCGGGGGCCAAACCGGGGTGTTCTGGGGGGGGGGGTATGAGGGGGCAAGGAGGGGGAGGTGTGGGGGCTAGGAGTAGAGGGAGAGGGAGGGGGGAGGGAGGGAGAAAGGGAGGGGGTGGGTGAGGAGGGTAAGGAGAAGAGGAGAGAGAGAGAGAGAAGAGGGGGAGGAGGAGGGGAGGGCAAGAAGAAGGGAGAGGAGAGAGGAGGAGGAGGAGAGCGTAAGACGAGAATGCGAGAGAAGGGAGAGGAGAGAAGAGATAAACGGAGAGAAAAGAGAGAAAATGAGAGAGCAGAGACAAGAGAGAAAAATGAGAGACTGAACAGAAGTGGGAGAACAGAGAACAGGAATAGAAAACAAAAAAGAATAGAAAACAAAAAAAGACAGCAACGCCCTCGCTCTTTTAAGCAAAAAGATCTGCTCTTCCCAAAACTTTCGCGAGAAAAAGACAAGAAGATGAATAAGAAACACAACTTTAAAAAAAACGTACATTAAAAATACCAATTCAGAAAAAAAATCCTCACGTAAAATACCAATTAAAAAAAAAAATCCACATGCAATATTTCTTGAAAAGTGCTACAGCACAAACAAGCAAAAAAAAAAAAAAAAAAAAAAAAAAAAAAAAAAAACAGCAGCTAAATTAGAGCTCTTAAAAATAGTCCCAAACAAAAATCGACGGCGGAAGTGTCAACATGGGGGGGGGGTGGAGGGGGTGGAGGGGGGGTGGAGGAGTGGCGTGGTCAACCCTTCAGCGTCTTAAAGGAGGAGCTATTGAGGAGAGGAAGTCGAGAGGCGATGCAGAAGGAGAGGAAGAGAGGAGTAGGAATAGGAGGAAGGAGGATAGGAGGAGGAGAAGGAGGAGAGGAGGGAGGGAGAGGTAGGAGGGATGAGGAGCAGGAGGGAATGGGAGTGGGGAAAGGGGCCAAGAAGGAGATGGAGGAGGGAGGTGGAAGAATCAGAATAAAAGGAGGTAGATGAAGAAGATGCATACAGCACCCTCCTCTTCCACTTTCTCTTCCTCTCCACTCCTTCCTCAAATCCTCATCCCTTCCACCATTCTCCCCACCTCTCCACCTTCCTCAACCCCACCTCCTCCACCAAACCACCTCTCCCCTCCCCTCACATCCTATTCCCCACTCATCTTATCTCACCTTCCTTCCCCCTTTCTCCAACCCCTCCCAACCTCCAAGCCCCCCTTTTCTTTCCCATCTCAACCCCACCTCCAAGCCCTCTAACGCCACTCTACCCCCTACTTCTACCCACCCCCCTCAAGCCACCCCCACCCCCAACACTCACGCCTCCACCCCACCCACCCACACACGCCTTCAGAAGGGAGTACTCACGGGTGTTTGTCGTCCCGGTGCAGAAGGTGTTTCGAGCTCAGCAGGGAGAGGGGGTGGTTCGCCGGCCCCACGAGCGAGCCCGTAAACCCCGACAGAAGACCTGTAGGGAAGGGGAAGGGGAGGGAAGGGGAGGGGAGGAAGGGAGAAGGGGTTTGGGGAAGAGACAAGGGGGGGAGGGTAAGGGGGAAGAAAAGAGAAAAAAAAAATAAGATTAGTTCCTGTTTAGATATCATTATTCACATATACATTACAATATTATCAAATGATGATGATGATGGAGAGAGAGAGAGAGAGAGAGAGAGAGAGAGAGAGAAGAGACGAGAGAGAGAGAGAGGAGACGAGAGAGAGAGAGAGAATGAGAGCGATCGAGAGAGAGAGAGAGAGGAGACGAGAGAGAGAGTCGAGAGNGATAAGAGAGAGAGAGAGAGAGAGAGAGAGAGAAAGAGTGTGAAGCTCAAAACTATAAGTGTCATGCTCGGTAAAAGACTGCCAAGAGAGGCTGGGTCGTCAGAGGGAGTCAACAAGAGCCATTTATAAATAACTGCGCCTTGAAAACCCTTACAAACTTTACTTTCTCATTTTCTTAAGACCATTTATGCAAGGTGCTGAGCGTGAGATTAATATACAAAGCGGGAAAGCAGTCTCATTTTACTTTTCCATCCCTCTTTCCACCTCTTGGCGCCCGCTCTGGCCTCCAGCCTCTCCCTGAAAGTTTTGCTGAGTCATCCAGTGTTAGGAACAGGGAACTGGCGAACCAATATGTAATAAAAAAGATCCATTAGTTAGTTGGCTAAAACGGCTGTTAGACAACAGAAACACAAAGAAAAGAGAGTCCGCAGAGGTGTAAAAACTCTCGCTAACAACCATTAGACACACAAAATTAGCGGAAGACGGTTGGACGGTCAGTCGAAGCCAGAAGCTGGTTGCCTGTACAGCAGCGGCGGGGGAGGGGGAAGGGGGAGGGGAGGGGGGAAAGCTACAATTCTTAGGGGTTAGTAAGTGGCTTTATCTTTGTTTTAGTTCTTGAACAAACCTTCCTGGACTTGGTTGCTGCTCGCTTGCTCCGGGGCCGCGGTCGTTGTGGTAGAGGTAGTGGTAGTGGTAGTGGTAGTAGTAGTGGGGTCTTCTAAACAACGGAAATGGGACAGGCGTTGAACTTACGGTTTTTTTAGATAGGTTGGAGATATTGTGGAATATATAATATATACATTTTTCTTTCCTCTCTCTTTTGGTCCTAATTCTAAATGCAAAGGTGGATTTTTTGGGGAAAGAATGGCATGCTGGTTGAAGACGATAGATAAGAGGTAGATATGTGAGTCTTGATAAAGATACATTCTAAATAGCTGTATCACTGAATTACATAACACAACTGTATCTTTAAATTACTGCATATGTGTCTTGTACTCTAAGGTTGTTTCATTATATCATAATATATTTCTTTTGCAAAGCAATATATTTTTCAATAACATTGTATTTTAAAATGTGATCACCCAAAAAGTTATTTCAATCATAATCGACATTTTCATATGTAAAAAAAATGAATGCAGTCCTTTCAGTAGCAATATCATGATCATTATAATATTATTGTTTTGAATTACGAGTATTTTGTGTTATAAGTACAATTCATAAGTAAATGTAAGTCCCTTGCTACCACTATACATGGTTAAGGTTATCTTAAATATACAAATTAGTTAACATTTCCTGACATCTACAGGGCAGGCAAAGGTCATCACATGAGATCTTGGTATTTACAGAGCTTAAGTATTTATAGAGCACTTGTATCAGATTTCAACTTTTTTTTCAGTATTACGAGTAACTCATGTATCCTCGCGCGAAAGAGGAAACGTTCTGAGAACAAGAGATGAGTAAATAGCAAAAACTGATTTGCAAAAATGAAAGAGAATTTACGAGAGAGTATTGTGAACTATTCTAAAAATAGATGAAAAGCTTTAGGGAAAATATTTCAGATCCAGATGTGCATCAGTGATCTAGGTGATAAAAGTATGGAAAAAAATGAAAATAAAAGGTTTATATCTATCTAACCAACATGCAATAAACTTATATACATGAAGACATTTTTTTGCGTAGCCACCAGCTACTCACAATACAGAAATTTACTCAAAAACAGTCAAAATGCTAAATAGGCTAGGTAAAGTAAGAGACAAAAATAAATGGGTAAATAAGGAAGGCAACACCCCCTAACAGACACAAGACCAGCAACCCCGAGACCAGACCCAGGAGCCCGGCGAGCCTCACCCTTGCGCGTGTAGAAGCCGAACAGCTCGGACTCCTCCGACCAGCCGAACTTGTTCTCGACGGCGAC